ATTTTTCTGACCATGCTCGTTTTGCATTATATTTCAGTTCTGCCACCATTTACTGTACTTTTATATACTGTGAACTCAGTGTGACACATGAACTCAGTGTGACAATAAGAACTTATTGTAGAACAAAGCCTAAACTCCTCAGGACACAATATATTTATTATTTATTTTTACAGTTCCTTGCAGTATAAGGTGATGATTTTGACTGACCTCTTTGCTGGTTCCTGGAATACTAACAATAAGTAATAAAGCCTCAGCACTCAAGAAGATTTCTTGTTCTATAACTTGGCGACTTCTAATTTTCTTTTTTACTGTGGCATATATTGCGATCTGGCTGCATCTTTCAGTAAGACCTCATCTGTTTTTAATTTTAATTCTTTAGTAAATACATAAGTCAAATACAACTCATCTGGAGATGATGCTTTATTGAAAATAAGAGGTAAGCCAATAAGAGGTAAGCCAACTAGCAGTATAAACAGTAGCAGAATTTTTGCAGAGCTGTTAAAAGTCAGGAGTTAAAAATAATTGCCTTTAAGCATATTCTTGCTTTCTTAAAATGAACTTTCAGCATATTGAGTGTTGGTAACTAGCAGTATAAACAGTAGCAGAATTTCTCCTTTGCATTCAGACCCCTTGCACTATGCTTGCTGGAACCTGGTGCCCACACGTTCCCGAGGAACAGCATCCCTTCTCCCTTATCCTTCCTCTGAAGGATAAAGCTCCTCTTGATAGGAAAAGTAGGTAGGTGCATCTGGTATTTACTTATGCCGGTCTGAAATGTTATATTAATTGCTGTTTTGCTGTTAGGGCTCTGGAAACCATCTCGTAGTCGGCTTTAATTAATTAGTTTATTTTCCAGTGTTTCTCTCTGCTCTTTCATAATCTGTCGAGTTAGAAACTTGATAAACAGCAAAGCTAATCAATTCCAACTCCATCCTTCTTGTGTAATAAGGAGCCCCATTAAGAAGCCCTGTGTTCTCAGCTGACCAATGGTAATGAAAATGTTCCACAAAGTAAAATCCTAGTTTTCTACTGCTTAACTATGCAAGTGGTTCCACTGAAATGGATGAAGTCATGTGGACTTAAAGCTGCATTTACAGTGTCATCTTAGGCCTGAGTATAGCTACTTCTGTTTGCAAGTCAGCTTCACAGATAATGAGGCATTTATTATATTCAATTAGAAGCAATTTATCATTGCTCCAAGTTCAGTACATTACCTTTCCTGATCTGTGTCTTCCTTCTACCTTCATTCTTCCTGCTTTCAGTCTCCTGATCATTCCCATTCCCCTCTTCCTGCTGCGCAAACATCTTGTCTCGCCTACACTCTCTCTCATCAGCTGTTGCACTAGGCCATACGCCTTGCCACAGAGAAAAGGCATTTCAAAACCTTCCCCAAAATACAGTAACACAAGCAAGGTGCTTTCTTTTCTGCCGGTGGAAGAAAAGGGTGGCTAAGAATAGTCTTCACCCTGTTCAAACTACCACAGAATTTCATTTTTGAAATATACACTGAGGTAGACATATACTTTTTTAAAAAGTTACCATTGAACCATTTCTTTTTCTTGCATTGCAGAAAGATCTCCAGTACACCTGGGAAGCACACATGAATGTTGCCATTTCTCAGAAAGTGGTAAATATCAACCTAGCATCTGAATTTACAGAAGATACGATTGCTTCCATAACAAACTATTTTCTGCTGTCTTATGAGATTGTAAATCCTATTTGTGATGAAGGCATAGTCTTAACCATTTGGATACACACCTGATTTCTTATAGTTACTCCTCTCTCCCACAATGGGCTCCACAGAGCAGGGGAGCTCAAATATTCAGACTCAAGGCCTGGGCCACCAACGCATTGAAACAAGAGGAGATCTCACCAGCCGTCACCAGCAGTAAAGTCCTGCTGAAGGCAGACCCATGACTCCCAGAACCTTGCTAGCCCTTGAATGTGTGTTATGTTGGACATCCACCAATTACAGAATTTACACAGTCATTACTGAAAGGCGATACCATTTGTTATTCACCCATCAATTTCTTTCAGTCAAGCTTATTTTTAACAGGCATCAAATATTTGGTTTGCTTAGGCATGGTCACTTGTTTTGAGAACTTCCCAAAAAAAAGAATAGTGATAGACACTGATAGCTTCCCATTACAGAAAAGCACCTTGAGATTTCAAGGTAACAGTTGAAGTGTCAAACAGCACTAACAATGCTTGAAAGATTGTATCTCTTTCTATTGCAAGACTATATATGCCCATCCTGTAGCATTACAGTAATACTATTTATTATATGCAAAAAGATCACAAATCTCATTTAAGAAGAAATGGGAAATGTACTGTACCTCTCCCAGAAATAATGGTTGGAGATGTAATTTACCATTCACCTCGATCAGCAATGTTCTCTATCCAACACTGAATTACTAGTTGACCCATGAACTTGAGCATTTACTAGCAACTCACTGTCACTTAAGGAATTATTATTATAGCATATGCACCACTGGAATCAAGAGCCTTGTAGCAGATTCTGCATTAATAGACATAACCATGCTCAGATAGAAAAATAAACAAACTAATGAATAAACAAAGAATTTCTTCAATCAATGACCTGTCAATCCAAGAACTATGCTCAAATGCACACACATACATACACAATACAGAAGATCATAATTGTAAAAATACATATGGAAGGTCTGCTAATGAATTGCCCATTTGTTTTTCTAAATATTCTTAACATTCAGAGGAAAAAATTTTAAAAGCTCAAATCCTAGTCTGTCTCACTAAATAATTGTTCTTTAGTAAAGAGGGAATGACAGGGGCTGTATGGACATTGTCAGGAACCACTCTTTGACCCTTTGGAGTTTGTAACTAAGTTTCCTGTTTATTTTCACACTGAGAAATTTAAATAAATAGTATTAGCTTCATAGTTACCATCTGCATTGTGTGATTACATAGTTAGAAAAATCTCACTGAAGCCATTTTCACAGATGGATTCATAAAAATCTGTGGAAATTCTTGGTTAAGAACAACAGGCCTGAACTCAGTACCTCCAAGATATTTCATGTTAATAAAACTTCTTAAGATCCATTGAGTACTATAGAAAACAGCACTAAAATGAACTTAGTGTGAATTCAGTTAACCTTCCTCACGCACCTTACTCAGTGGTCACAAGGAACCCAGTCTTGCCTGGTTCTGCACATGCACGTTCTCCAAAAAAGATGCACAAGAACATATTTATGGAGGGCTCAGCATATCTATATAATTATAATATGTTGAGTAGCTAGCAGCCCAATTAATCATATGGAGTACTGAACCTACATCTGTTCAATTGTTGATTAATGCTTTTTCACAGTGAAAGATTTGTCAGCAACATTAAATGGAGCTCCAACTGCACCAGAGTGAGCTATATGCAGCTCATGTAAATGTATGTTACTCCTATCCCCAGTTAGGGATCATCTTAAAGATTATCTAAGGCAGATGAAAGAAAACTCCGGTAAGTGAAAATCCTGTGCTTCAGCAATTCTTTAAAGCAGTCAAACTTGATTCTTTTCTGCATAGCATTACAATCTTTTTTATACATCTGAACTGTAAATTATGAATCAAAAAATACACACATGAGTATAGAAGATGGAAATAAAGCCACAGAAAAGGATAACATGAAAAAGGAGCTTTTCTCACAGCACTGCAAGAACAGTGCAATATTCTGCTGAAGGACTGAACTCCTGCTCCTATCTGGAAAAGCTAATGACAGAATCAGCGAGATTATTAAAAACATCATTGCTTTGTTAATCAAAGCCTGTAATCATCACTTAGGCCTTCTGATTACCTCCTGCTTCATTTCAGCCTACGTCATTGAAACATCCCATTAAATGGACTTTCCCTCTGTTCAGGGCTGAGGACGGTGCATAAAATACCAAAGCTCTGAAAAGAACATTCGTGCTCTGCACAAACTTCACACTATTCTGATCTCGGTATTCCTAGATGCCAGCAGACCTCCAGTCAGGCAACACTAAGGAGCTCCCTAAACATGGGGCACGTGTTAAGAAAGTCACATTTTGCTAACAGCACCTTTATCACTCATAATGTGCTCATAATTGCTAGCGCAATTAATTAATGGGAAGAGAAGCAATAAAAGCTGGAAAATTGCCTTTCCTGGCACTTGATCCATTGGGATGATTTGTAGCATTGTTTATTGGGAGCATCATAAGGGCTTTTCCAAAACAAGAGAAATCATTAAATCCCATAAAAGAGACTCCGCTGCAGTTAGCGGGTAATGGATATTCCTGCTCGTGCCGTTTATATCGCTAGAGAAGCTGCTCAGACACGAGCAGGGCGCCCAGGAGGGCTGTGGGGCTGGGGGTCCCCATGTCCCCACGTCCCCTCCACACTGCAGGGCACAGCCCCAGGGGCTGCAGAAATGCGGCGCAGGTGGCAGCACGGGCACCAACTTTGGGAGGGAGAAAGGAAGAGGAGGAGGAAGGGGAGGCTGGAGCATGGGGTGGAGGGTAAAGCGCTTTTCATTCCCCTTTTAGGGCAGGGAGGACTGGAGTGCTACCCCTATCCCTGGTTTTCCCCTTGGGAGGGTGGGCATTTTAACTACTCTCTCCTTTTTTATTATCTCTTTTTTTAATGCAAATAAAAGCTTTCGTGTCATAGTTTTCCACAGGCTTTTCAGGAACCCTGCTGTGGGGAGAAAGGGCAAGACCAGAAAGGATTTCTAAACAGAGGGCTGGTGATTTTAAACAGTTACCGAATAACAGCCAAAACATGTGCCCAGATAGGAAACTCGAACATGCCGAGAAGGCAGGCAGAAAGCACATCTCTTAGTGCTGGAAAGCAAGCAGGCATATTAAAAAAAGACTCGGGAAGGGCAGGGAAATAGCACTGAAAATGCGAATAAATCAGCCCAGATTTTATGGGGAAAAAAAAAAAGGAAGAAAAAAAAAAGAGAAGCTGCTGCTGAGCCTAAGCAAATGCTGCTGCCTTAAGGATGGAAGTATCTCCCTTACCTTATTACTAATCCTCGCTTGCACCTGCTCTGCAATCATAAATACTTCGAAGTGCTTAGTATGAAGCTAAATTGATGGCTGAATTTAAGCAATTTCTTCATGCACCTCTTTTACAGATTCAAAAGGAGATTTTTTACGATCGTCCTCAGTATCCATTAGCTCCCAAAAGAATTCCAGTTTTCTTGGAGAAAAAAGAGGCAAAAAAACACCCCAATCTGCCTATGTACAAACGGTCACGGTGATAGATCCAAAAAGCAGGGAGTGAGGGAATCTGAGAGGTGTCACTACAAACTTGGCAAGCCAGTCGTGCCCCCAGCAGCAACGAGAGGGTGGAGGAGGAGGAGGAGGAGGGGGGGGAAAAAGCTGCAAAATACAAAATTCCCAGGGAGATTTCAAAGGAGAAAAAAAAATAAAGGCAATCAGTGAGGAGAGACGTATGCGCAGCACGCGAATGGGATGGCGGGGTCTTCCCTAGCTCTCCATCCGTCAGCAAAGGGAGCGATCGCCTGTCGAGCCGGCGCTGCTGCGGTTCA